CAGAATATATTAAATATAAAAAAAAACGGTTTATATGGGAATTATTAATAGGAAAATTATTTTAAACAAATTCCAAGAAGAACTTGATACAGAACTGTCAAATAAGAAAAAAAAAATAGGTTTATTTATTGATCCCCGAATGTCATTTGATGCGCAAATAGACCATGTATGCGCTAAATTAAATTCAGCTTATTTTGCTATATTAAGCTTAAGAGACACGCTCGACATACATGGTCTCATATCCCTTGCGTATAGTCATATGGCAGGTAACATCTTATGTTGGGGAAAAGCTGCTTTTAAACTTAGTCGAGTCTTCATTATACAGAAGCGAATTATTAGGCTTATTTTTAATGTTGGTTTTCGTGGGAGCTGCAGGGATGTTTTTTTTAACAGAAAAATTTTAACTTTCTAACTTTCGTATGTATCGACATTTAATTGACGTACCAATGTACAATATTTGTATGGCAATAAAAAATTATTATTAGTTATTATTATTGTTATTACTAAGTTATTTTAGAGTTATTTGAAAAACGGTAAAGAGAAAATATGTTTCTTCTATCGAGATCAACAAGCCCTGAAAATATTTACACTTATTTAAGACTCACCCTGTATAGCCCCCCCTTTGCCAGCTCATAAAAAATATACCATTCTGAAAATATTATAATATAAAGGGCCAAACAAAACTTTTTAAATATTCAAAAAAAAATAATAAAACATTTTTAACCACCGAATAAGACTAAAAACTCTAATGTTTATTCTTCAAGTATACTGTCCACCAACTTTTGATTCAAAGAAGTTTTTCGTTTATCTCTCATAGAACGGTATCCCAAGAAATTGTTTTGATGAAAAATGCGAGTTTTTAATTAACCTGTTCAAAAAAATGTTTAAAAAAAATGTATTCTATATAAGAAACTCAAATGGCATTCTGTTATATGGTATAACGATTTCGATATCACTCTATACAGGGTTCGGCAATAGTGCGTCGGGCATTTGTAGCTCCTGGAATAAAAAACGAATTTTGCTCAAATGCAAATCAAAGAACGTACGAGGATGTATTTCAGGAAAATATTTTAACTTCTATAGTGGATTGGGTTGATTTTTTTAAATTGAACACCCTGTATATTATTGCATTTTTGGTTGTCTTTCAGATCACTTTACATAATCCTAAGACATGCGTAAATATATTTCGATGATTTCAGAGATATTAATAAATTAATAAAAAATATATTTTTTTGAAACTTACTTAAAAAAATTATTACAAATACAAGAACCTGTCCTGAAATAAAAACTATATTAGGTATTTACTTTAGATGGTCCTATACTTACTTTGATATAAATATCATAATCTTAAATCATACAGGGTGTTAAAAATTCTACGCCAAACTTTCTAAAATATAAAATCATTTTTCTTTGTTTTTTTCTTAATGGAACACCCTGTATGTTATTCTTTTATTAGATGGGGTGTTAAAAAATAAAAAAAAATTGTATTCAAAGTATTTAAAAATTTTAATTATTTCACAGATACAGGCAGTATTATTTCATATGGCTCTTTCAACGGTAAAATACGGAGAAAAACATGAGAAAAATCATTAGATAGGCATTAGGCTTTGATAAAAATTTACTGTGGAAAATGCCATATAAAATATAAAACCGCGAATATCTGCGAAACCGTTAAAAATTTTGAGATACTCTAAATTCAAAAAATGTTCATTTTTTAATTTTTTATCAATTGAAAAAGTAATATACAGGGTGTTCGATTAAAAAAAAAACGAAGAAATATTATTTTATATTTTAGAAAGTTTGACATAGAATTTTGAACATCCTGTATAATTTACGATTACCATATTTATAGCAAAGTAAATACCTAATATAGTTTTGATTTCAGGACAGGTTCTTGTATTTTTAATAATTTTTTAAGAAAGGCTAAAAAATATATATTTTTTATTTATTTATCTCTAAAACTGTCGAAATATATTTACTCATATCTAGGATTATGTAAAGTGATCGGAAAGCAAACCAAAAATGCAATAATAGACAGGGTATTCCATTTAAAAAAAATCATTCCGATCCACTCACCCTTTTTTGAGCTACCTTATAGAAGTTAAAATATTTTCCTGAAATACATCCTAGTACATACTTTAAGCCACTTAAACAAAATTTCTAGTTTTTTTTTATTCCTGGAGTTACAGATGCCCGACGTACTATTGCCAGACCCTGTACAGGGTGCATATTTGTATGTTGCGCACAGATTATCCATTCGGAATTAGTCGGGTCTGCTGCGATTCGGCGGTATGTAAGTTATACTCGGGAGAGCACTTTCTTGGATAACACGAGTGCAACATACAGAGTAGTGTAGGCGTTATTATGAATAATTATGTTTTGTGAATTGATGACTTATATAGGTATTGTTATATTCTCCAACCCTTTTAACGATATAGCATAGGAGCAAAAATAAATTATATATGTGAATGAATAGGCATACTGATTCAAAATTTCGGGAATCAGAATAAAGAACACCGATACTCTAGAAGATCGATATCTATCGCCCAACATTACCTAAACAAAAGTGCTTTTTATTATCGTTTTTTAAAATCGAGTGTTCCGTTTCGTTTCTCCAAGAGTGTATAAAGTTTGTTTCCTTCTTATAGTATTCCCAGAAAAAGAGAGTTCTAGTACGCTTTGATGTGGTCAAATTAAATGTTTAGGCCTATGGTTTAGGTTTTTTTTGGCATCACAGAAAATTTTTGAGATATATCTTTAATGCACATTGATTTAGATATCGATATGAAGAAAAAATCATTTTTAAATGCTCCCTCAAATCTCCCAAAAACCTGAACAATAAACAATAATCATATAATTAATTACTTATTTTTTAAGTATAATGAGTGAAGAAGGAATTATATTGTTTTATTTAAATCTACCTCTGAATTTATCTAAAAAGAGGAAAAGGCTTAAATAACAGTAAAGTTGGATATCAAGTTTAGTAACGATTTTTTTCTCTGACAGGAATGGCTTGATACGCTTACCAATAATCACTTACCAAAGAAACTTGGAGAATAAAACGAACATTTCCACTTGCTTCCGAAGCCCCAACAAATATTTTTAAGCGTATTTACCATTGCCATTTCAACGTTAGACAAAGAGCTAGAACTAATAATTTAAAACAAAAGTCATCTAAAAATATGTTAAGCCTAAAGCCATATGTTACAATGTTTCTATATGTTGCACTCGGTTTATCAAAGGAAGTGCTCTCCCTAGTATAACTTACATACCGCCCAATCGCAGCAGACCCGACTAATCCCGAATGGACAATCTGTGTGCAACATACAAATATGCGTACAGGGTGGGTCAAATTCGACGCTTTTAAATGGAAACACCCTTTTCAATAACAGATAGACAAAAACTAATGGTGAAAACTGCATATCGATATCTGTTACCGTTTCGGCGTTACGAGGTGTTTTTCAAAAATATGCATTTTTAACAAATCGCTGTAACTTTTTTGCTATGGAAAATTTTGTATTTTTATGAAAACATTTCCAAAGCACCTTTTTACGTAGAATTTAATGGTTTAATTATAATTTTTTTTAAATTAATAATTTAAGAATTATCGACAGAAAATTTGATTTTTTATTTGGGACACCCTGTATATTTTTAATTTATTAAAAATAATTTAGAATTACCTTTCCAAAAATATAACACACTTGACATTTTGCTCGATTCCTCTTCGAGATATAGAGTATATAAAAATTCGCCCGCTCTAAATAAGTATATAGGCTTTAAACGGCACCGGCTGTAATGCAAAAAAATTCTAGCTGTGAGCATCAATTAAAACGAAAATAATATTTGCTATGAGAGATGCAGAATTTTATAACAATTTAAAATATATTTAACCAATATCAACACATTTAAACTATATCTAATAACAATAAACATAAATAGCAAACCAAGACATGAGATTTTGCTACAGGTGTTCGACATATCGACCGTCTTCTGTTATGGACAGACGGGGCAGTTTTTGAACATTTCTCGCGGATTTCATTAACTCAGTAGGGGTGAAAGATACCCTCTCATAACTGCTAAGTATTTCTAATTCTTGTCTAGATTATATGGAAGAATAAGGAACCTATATTCTTCCGCAAATATATCCATTATTATATTTGCGGAAAATATATCCATTATTGTGCCCATGGATTAGCTCCATGGGCACAAGTCAGGCGGCCTCGACGGCCAACGACTGGGATCTTGGTTAACTATTCAATTATTCTTGAAATTGGCTGCAAAAATTTGCTGATAGCTTCAGAGGCGGTGCGTCGTCTTGCTGGGAAAATATGTTTTCGAGTTCCATTAAGGACATATCATCAATAAGGGGTCCAAAGCCTACTAGTTAAAAGTGGCGAACTTTTAAAAATTCTGTATTTCGAAGAGGATTATAACAAAATATCAAATGTGCTACATTTTTGGAAAGGTACTTTTAAATTCTTTTCAGTTAATTAAAAATATAGAGGGTGTCCCAAATAAAAAATCAATTTTTCTGTTGATAACTCTTAAATTATTAATTTTAAAAAAATTATACTTAAGCCATTAAATTCTACGTAAAAAGGTGCTTTGGAAATGTTTTCATAGAAATACAAAATTTTTCATAGCAAAAAAGTTACAGCGATTTGTTAAAATGCAAACTTCTGAAATACACCCCGTAACTCCGAAACGGTAACAGATATTGATGTGCAGTTTTCACCATCATGTTTTTGATGAAAATTGAGCTCCAGACACCGATATTAGTTTTCGTCTATCTCCTATAAAAAAGGGTGTTTTCATTTAAAAGCGTCGAATTTGACCCACCCTGTACATATTATCGGTAAATAATAATGAAACTCTTCTGTGATTCGTAGATAAAATCTTACGAGATTACTTTAATGCAAAGTTTCGCATAGGCTTATTTTACCGCTTATTCTATTTCATTACTCATTAGTCAAAGAGATTATGTTTCTCATTATTTTCAGACCGATACCGATGGCTGCTTCTTACAAGATAAGGGGAGGAGTGAGATTGGAGTCTTCTGAATCTCAACAAAATGAATCATTAAGGAAGACGCTAATTGGATTTGACATCGACAACAAAAATTATACCATGCGCAAGGCTAGAGACAGTGGAACTAATGACATCGTCAGTAAAAATATTACTAACATCTTGGAGAACTTGTTGAAAAATTATGAAAGTTCCCAATTACCTAATCATGGAAAAGGTATGTGTGTTTGCAGATACAAGCATTATATGCTCGACCAAAAAACTTTTTCTGAGAACTTGAAAGTCGTTATGCGAGTCATAAATACAGGGTGGTCGGAACTGTATTCCGGAAACTTCGCCAGCATATTCTGCAGATAAAAATAAGTAAAAAAGTTCGTATAAATGTATGTCCTAAAATGCTTACTTTCGGAGATACAGGGTGTAGAGGTTTCATTTTTATTTCGATTTTTTCCAAATAATTTCTGAAATAACGTCAATATTTGGATGAAAATTGGTATCTGGGGGTTTTTTGACATGAAAATTTTGATTTTGATGGCAATATGACTCCTACTTATAGAGGGCGCCACCCGCATATTTTTAACTGGTTTGAAGAGTAATAACTTTTCGTCCGTACCTGTATAAAACTACTGAGTGAAAAAAAATATATTTCCGTGATTTTTTACGTAAAAAATGTCTCTTGGTAAAAATCGCTACAAACAACCGTTCTCAAGATATTTAGAATGGAAATAGTCAATACATGTCATTATTGACAAAAAAACAGACACGTTGAGTAGATAGTTATTTGACTGAAATAATAAATTTGGAAAATTTTTATGTAAAACTTGGAAAATAAGATTGTTATAATAATACTTTTATTTATTCACTATTCTAATAAAGAATATGCATTCCTTCGAAAACTCTCTATTTATTTATCTAGTAATGCTAAAACACTCTATACGAAAAAATGATGATAAAACAGTTTCTGTTGAACTTTTGGCACAAAAACATTTCAAATTTATGATTTCAGATTAATAACTGTTAGTCAACATGTTTAATTTATGTCAATGATGATAGGTCTTGATAATTTCGATTCCAAATATCTCGAGAACCATTCTTTGTAGCGATTTTTACCAAGAGACTTTTTTACGTAGAAAAAGTCATAAATTTTTATTTTTTTACTCACTAATTTTATACAGGTACGGACGAAAAGTTATTACTCTTCAAACTAGTTAAAAATATCTAGGTGGCGCCCTCTATAAGTAAGAGTCATATTGACATCAAAATCAAATTTTTCATGTCAAAAACCCCCAGATACCAATTTTCATCCAAATATTGACGTTACTTCAGAAATTATTTGGAAAAATTCGAAATCAAAATGAAACTTCTAAACCCCGTCAATTCTTTTTTATTTTTCTCAGGGCAATTGAAAAGGTTAATGTCATTCGATCTCAGGTATAATACACCACGTTTCAGTAAAGTTTAGCAACATGTACCTGCCTTTGGAATGCCTCACGCTAACGTGGCAAAATGTACCGCATTTTAGTCTCATGTTTGGCAAAACGCACCAGCGTTTAGTCTCGGCCAATGAGAGCAAGGAAAATCACATTATGGACTAAATAATGGTACATTTTGCTTAAATGCCGCACGGGTATAGGAATATGATATGTGGTCGAAAAGCAATTTTATTTGGGTTTTGATTTTTTAAATAATATTCGTAGAGTAGAGATGAATTTAAAATAATAAAGATTTGAGTAATTTTATAACAAAGTTGTAATAATTATTTTTTCTGACCTCGGCAAACGGAAATAATTATTTTTTCTGACCTCCCTGTTTGATATCCAATCATTTGATTTAGATAGATTGGATATGCCGACTTTCCTTAACCTATAAACCAAATCAGCTTTCAATATACCGAATTTATGATTTAACCAATGATTATTGAAGATCATATTTTTTGTCAATTTTACACATGTTTTTTTATCTCGAAAACTATCAGAGATAGGTAGGAGATAAGTTAATATAATATAAAAAGTATGAGATATCAAAGTAGTTTTCAAAAATTTAATAATATACCGGATGATCCATTTAAAATAACAAAGATGTTACTTTTAGTATGAAGGAGAAACGTGGAAACTAATTTTTATAACACGGGCTTATATTTATCGTACTATTTGGTGAAATAGCACGAGGCAATGAAGGTCAAACGTTGAGGTGGTTTCAGAAAAATAAGTAAACATGGAAAAACTGACATGAAAACAGTTACCGATGATAAATTAAATTGGCTATTCCTCGAAGGTTACACAAGAATATTTAGTTTTAATCATTGTCTAATATTATTAATTACAATATAGTAAAAAAAAATAAAACAGTGACTAACTAGCGGTCTACCATTTATCGGCTTATAATCCACGGTATTGCGCCTCATGAAGAAAATATACACAAAATTATTTAAAAAATTGTCTAATTATTTATTATTTCTGGTTATGGTAAAGTAACATTTATACTGTAGTCTGTAGCAAAGTTTAGTTTAGGTATTATTGACCACCTGAAGGAAGAAGTTGTGAAGACACCAAAAGCTGGAAGGAATGCAATATTTTCTGAAGAACAAGAAATGGAATTAGAAGAATATATCATAAAGAGAAGTAAAACATTTTTAGAACTTAACAATAGAGAAGGTGCGGAAATTAGCGTACCAATTTGCCGAAATAAATAAATTGAAGCATAATTTTGACAAGGTAACCAAAATGACAGGAAAAGACTGGTTTTACGGATTTAAAAAAAACGTCCTAACATTTCGCTATGTAAACCTGAGGCTACATCAATAGAATAACAGCTTTTAATGAAACCGAACTGAAACTTTTCTTCAACAACCTTGAAGCCTTGCAAACAAAACACCACTTTGATTATAATGTCGACGAAACAGGAATTTCTACTGTCCAAAGAAGAAGCACCGAACAAGTGGGTATGGCAACAAGTGGTGAAAGAGGCAGTACAACAACAGCTGTTTGAGCATTCAGTGCTTCAGGGCAGTATCTTCCTCCGTTTTTTATCTTAAGAGGAAGCGAATGAATGCTCAACTGTTGCGTCGAGGGAATGCCGATATGGTAGCAGTAGTTAGCGATTCATTACATCATTTCATTTCATTTGCTAAACCAACTGTTGAAAACCCCATATTACTTATTCTAGACAACCATGAAAGCCATATCAGCCTTGCTAACTATCAGCTTTGCCGCCAGAGTGGAATAATGTTGTTATCCCTTCCGCCTCACACATACATCATCGACTACAGCTACTAGACTTGACATATTTTGGGCCCCTAAAAGCTGCATATAACAAAGAGTGCGACTTGTTCATGGCTTCAAATATTGCCAGAAAAATTAAACAGTACAAAATAGTCGATCTTTTTACAAAAGCTTTCGATCGCATCAGCAATATCTAGAAAGGTATATCTGGTATTTAGCCATTACATACACAGATTATAAACTTATCGTCAAAAGCATTGATTTTCGTGGTTCCAATTTTTCGCGTACTAGTGAGTCGCGCACTAGTTTGCGCACATAACACGCCCACTTATGGCCTCTAAAATTGTGCACAGCGCCGGTCAGGTTATGGCCGCAGTGTTATGGCCAAATTTTATTACGCTGTTTAAACGCGGGTTTATTTTTCCGCACTTTTTTACTCGTTTGGTCATTGTCACAAAAAACAATTTTCGTACCACAAATTAGGGACAAGATTTTTATCTGTATACATATAGTATACTATTACCTAATCTGTGTTACATACAACTAAATTTAATGAATACTTACTACGGTGACACCTGTTACGCAGATAGCATCAGCTTTCCTGATCTTTGCTAAGATCACCGACAACTGATGAGCAGATAGTATCGTCACAACAACGGTATCGAACTTTCAAATAGTTGTGACTTCTGATGCGCAAATAGCATCCACATCGGAAGAACAAACACCAGTACCTAACTATATGCCCAAATAACTGTGCACCACATAACACAACAATACAACATGTTGTCAATGTACCCATACTGCCTCAACCAAAAAAGACACAGACGTCTAGAAAAAAACATTCACTTATAATAACCGGAACTCCCATGAAATATATTCTAGAAGAAACGGAACAAAAAAAAAGAAAAATCAGGAGCAGATTAAAGAAAGTAACGGAACAAAAAAAAAGAAAAATCGTATAGCAGATTAAAAGTAAGAAAGGAGGCAGAAATCTTAAGGATTTTGCCGATAACGTTAAGATGAAAACTTTAGATAGAAACATATCGCGCAAGAAACAAAATAATAATAAAAAAAGTATAAAGGAAAATGAGTATTATTGCTTAATTTCTAATGAAATGTACGAAGATCCTCCCAACGAAGATTGGATACAATTCTATAAATGTGGTTCATGGGCTCACGAAAATTGTACGAGTGGTGAGAGCACATCAAGGGGATTTGTCTGTGACTTCTGTGGCAATTAGACTGTGTTTGTGATTTTATTTGGAGCTTTATCTGCGTTGATTATGAGAACTTAAGATTGATTAGTTTATGTTATAATACACCATAAATATTAATTCTTTCATAATTTGTTTTCGATTTATTTTTTTTATTTTATTTTTCTCTTAGGTGTTTGCATTTCCCTAACTCCAATCTATATCTAATTAAGGGTATTTGAGTATTTCATATTGGTAAACTACTACTGGGAGATTACAAAGCGGATTTTGAAGTTCATAAAGTTATTATTACATCCGGTAAGAGAGGAATCTCGAAAGTATTTTACCTTAAGCAATATAATAGGTACTCCAATATGTTTTCGTTCTACAGTTTCCTCTATAGTATAGTGCAATATGTAAACATGATTGGAAATTATTATTTAAAATTAAATTTCACTGCTTGAGAGATGTTTATCTAAAAAGTAATTTTAAACAAATTGCTTTTAATAGAATGAGATCATGTGAGAGTATCTACCAATATACAAATAATAGCGTCTTTTGGGTGAAATGGTGGGTTTAGACGTTTATAAAATCGAGTGATAAGATTATTTAAAAAAAATTGGATTTTTAGATAATTACTCTGCTCTATCGATTTAAATTAGTTTTCCATTGCGGTGTTGCTACTTCTTGCATACAGTATAATAATAATATCAATTTTAGTTCACTTTATTAGATCCCAACAGGAAATCCCAATTAGTTCACAATGGTTCACAAAAAAATAAAAAAATACACACTTAGAACGC